GGATCACAAGGTAAGTCTATTTTTAGTCTTTTCAGGAATCTCCATACTGTCTTGCATAACGTATGTAACAAATGTAGCTGGTGAAGTGTAGTTTTCACCAACAGTGTAGGAGGTTTCCCTTTTCCCAAAACCTCTCCGGCATTTATTGTTTGTGAACTTTTGAATGATGGCCATTCTGACTTGTGAGATGTACCTCATTGTAGCTTTGATTTGCATTTCTGTGATAATTAGTGATAATGAGTATTTTTTCATGTGCCTATTGGCCACTTGTATGTCTTCATTGGAGAATTGCATTTTTAGCTTTACTGCCCATTTTTGTATTGGGTTGTTTGTTTTTTTCTTATTAAGTTGTATGAGGTGTTTATATATTCTGGAAATTAAGCCCTTTATCAGTCTCTTCTTTTGCAAATATTTTCTCCCATTCCACAGGTTGCCATTTGTTTTGCTTATGGTTTCATTAGCTCTTCAGAAGCTTATAAGTTTAATTAGGTCCCATTTATTTATTTGTGCATTTATTTCTATAGCTTGGGTAGACTGCCCTAAGAGAATTTTGCTGAGATTTATGTCAGATAATGTTTTGCCTATGTTTTCTTTTAAGAGGTTTATAGTCTGATATTTAAGTCTTTAAGCCATTTTGAGTTCATTTTTGTGTATGGTGTGATGGAGTATTCTAACTTCATTGATTTACATGAAGCTGTCCAGTTATCCCAATACCATTTGTTGAGGAGACTGTCATTACTGCATTGTATGTTCTTGCCTCCTTTGTCAAATATTAATTGACCAAAAGTTTGTGGGTTTATTTCTGGGCTGTCTGTTCTGTTTCACTGATTCATATGTATATTTTTGTATGAACACCATGCTGTTTTGAGTCCTGTAGCTCTGTAGTATTGTCTGAAGTCTACCAGCTTCGTCCTTTTTCTTCAATATTACTTTGGCAATTCTGGGTCTTTGTTTTTCCATATAAATTTTAGGATTATTTGTTCTAGTTCTTTGATAAGTATCCTGGGTAATTTGGTAGGGATCACATTAAATCTGTAGCTTTCTTTGTGTAGTATGGCCATTTTAACAATAATAATTCTCCAGTCCAAAAGCATGGAATATCTTTCCGTTTGTTTAAGTCATTTTTAATTTCCTTGGTCAATGTTTTGTAGTTTTCCATGTATAACACTTTCACTTCCTTGGTCAGGTTTATTGATAGTATTTTATTATTTGGATACAATTTTAAAAAATGATTGTTTCTTTGCTTTTCTTTTCTGATACTTCAGTGTTATTGCAAAAATATGCAATTGATTTCTGTGTGTTAATCTTGCATCCTGCTACCTTGCCAAATTCTTTTTTCATTTCTAGTAGTATTTGTGTGGAGCCTGTAGGGTTTTCTATATATAGTATCGTGATATCCACATATAAGACAATTTTCCTCTTTTCTTCCAATTTGGATCCCTTTTATTTCTTTTTCTTGTTCAATTTCTATGCCTAGGGCCTACAATACTTTATTGAATAAAAGTGGTGAGAGTGGGCATCCTTATCTTGTTCCAGATTTTAGCAGGAAGATTTTCAACTTTTCACCATTGAGTATTATGCTGGCTTATTTTCATTATAAATAATTTTTATTATGTTGAGATATGTTTCATATATACCCCCTTTTTTAGAGTTTTTTTTACCTTAAATGGGTATTGAAGTTTATCAAATGCTTTTTCTGCATCAATTGATTGATATGATCATGTGATATTTGTCCTTTCTCTTGTTGATGTGTTTTATCATGTTGATTGATTTGTGCATGTTGAAGCATCCTTGTGTCCCTGGGATGAATCCAACTTGATCATGGTGTATGATCTTTTTTATGTGTTGTTTGATTATGTTTGC